TACGCTAGATGAAGTATTTTATTATCATTTATCAGATTTATCATTTTACATCAACATAATGAATATCTTATACTAAAACTCTTTACAGATATATACTCACCGTCTTTCGAACATAAAAAAGTAAAAATCTTATTTCTACGCTACGATATGTTTTTCTTTTTTTTTGTTTTTTAAATTGATGACCGTTTCCTGCGTTCTGTACTTTTTTTTTAGAAATAAAACAATAAATCTTTGTAAAGATTTTCTACATTAAAACATTTATTTGTCTGTTTCAGCTTTCGTCATTCACTTCTCGTTTTTGGCGAGTTTCTTCTGGCTGAACGTTATGTGCTTTGACATTTGGTGGACATTTGGGTAAGTTATTATAAATATCTTTTATGTTATATACATTACCTATAATCAAAATAATGAAACTTAAAACTTGTTTTTTAACATATAATATATTAAAATAAGTTCTGATATATATTTTTTAAACATTTTTTACAACAAATTATATGTATATATATAAATAATGAAAATTATTATACATATATATAAAAATTATTATATAGTACATATAAAATTATATATATAAAATTGTTATATCGAACATTAATTACAATTTAGTAAAAAAAAACATTTGTAGATATAGGTCTAGATTATATATAAAATGATTAATTAATTTGCCAAGTATTTTCCTAAGTTCTACTCGATTCGACGGAGTGAAATTTGATAATTGACAAACACTGAGGGGAAAATTGATAGCAAAAGGACGCGAATTAATATCCGGTACGTGACCGGCGCGCGTATGCGGTGCAAACAACGATCGAGTTAATTTTGTTCTTTTACGCGGTCAAACGTCGCTATCGGTCTAAAACATTACTCAGACAAACTATTCGGGAAACGCTCTATTCTCTGGTTATATCTGCCTTGTTAATCGCGTAAACAGTTTCACACTACTTTTGCGAGAATGTTTGAGATAGTTTTACATAAATCTAATAAATAATTTTTTTTACATAAATCCACATTAAAAAATTCAATTAATGTTATCATTCTTTATGATTTTTATGAAAAAAGAAAAGGATAAAAGATTAAAATGCTGATGTGATTTGCGCACGCTTCTAATCGCATGGTTACTAGTATAATGTACACGCAACTTTAATTTACTTTTTTTCTCATTACGAGCAAACTAATTTTGGTGAAATACCACAAAGTAAATTTTTATTTCTCACGTGAAATGAAATTCCACGTATAATACGAGGTCACAATGTCGCTATTTACCTTTCTCGTGTAATAGGGAAGATGGGCTGACTTTCTGTCGCCAAGCCCGTTTCGTGAGATTATGAGGGTGTGACGACTGCGTGTATGTATGTGTACGCGCACACCTCTGCGTTCACTTTGTAATCAATTACAGAAAAAGAGCGTACTTGGAACCGGATTAATTTTTCTCTTTATTGTGTGAGCATGTATTATATATATTATACGGCATTATGTGTCGTCCTTATATGTTTACGCATCCGTGTAAACACAAGTGTATTGTTCAGCTCTGCATACTTTAACACATGTATTTCCTAATTTTAATCAAAAGTTTGATTAAAACCACTCTTATTGCATCTCTACTCGTTTTATTTTTGTTTCAATTAAATTGGAAACTAAACGATGCATTGCTATATAATTAAAAAGCACTATGTTTTAGTTTATGATTAGATAGAATTAAATGTAAATTTCAAAAAGTTTTAATTTTATTCTAAAAATTAATTGCAAGTAGATATATTAGTTATATCTTTGCGGAAAAAGCGGACATTTTTATGTTCCCTTACGGAAAAAACGTTCAACTATTGATCGTAACTTACGAGATCACGTTCAATTTGACCGTAAACGCTCAAAATTGAACGTATAACGCTGAATATAATATTGAAAGTTTATGGTCAAGTTGAACGTGATTTTGTACGTTACGGTCAATAGTTGAACGTTTTTTCCGTAAGAGAACATAAAAATGTCCGTCTTTAGCAAGATTGTGCTGCAATATAGATATTGCATTTTATTAACACTTTATAAAAATATAATAATTAATATAATAAAATACGTAATATACGTTAATATTAAAGTTGTTTCATTATAAATAGAAACAATTGTTTTATTATAAATAGAAACAATTTTAATATTAACATATACTTTATTATATTAATTATTATATTTTTTACATATACACACACACATATACACATATTAGAAATATATATTACACGTAGTATAAACATATTCAATTTATTTTTACCCTATAAATAGGCAGTCTGTTAAACAAATTAAAATAAAAATACAAGTGTCAATAATATACAAAACTATTTCGCACTGTAGAAGTAGTTCACAGACTTATCAAATGATATGCCACAAATCAATAGTGTTATATAAAGCAGTTTGTAAAACTCTTGTAAGCAAGGCAGTCCTGCAACAGGAAATAACTGGGGAATTAAAATACAATAGTCAAAAAATACAATATAATCTCAAAGTAGTTAAATACAATTACATAATTAAAGAATAATTTTACTTAGTTATTTTATCTTTTATCCTAGTTATTTTTGCTTTTTCTTCCAATTACGCCTTGCCTTATTGTAATGTCTACACTTGCCTTATACAATGTCTATACAATACATATCTTAACGTAGGCTGCTTTCCTTTTAGGAGACACAGTCGACACAAGTCGACACAAGAGTCATTCTGTTTTTGTTTCTCACTGAATACTGAACGAAAACAGAATGACTTTTGTGTCGACTTATGTCGACTGTGTCTCCTAAAAAGAAAGCAGCCGTAATCAACAAAACATAAACTAAAGACAGAGCCTAGTAAAAATAACTCAGCACACTCAGTACAGTCAACGTATTCAGGCAAGATCCTTTTCCGCGTATGCGCGATAGTGATGGCAAATGTATGTACAATGCATTCAATGCAAACATTGCGATACTGAAATTACTGAAATAAATATAAAAAATACGTATGATGTATATTTCTATATCTGATAAATAAATTCATTTCTCAAAAGTTAATGACTGTTGCGTCCTGTGAACGCAACTATATAATAAATTATGTGCAGTGTTTTGCAATGTTTCTGCAAGATTTTTACAATCTTGCTATTATCTTACGCCAAAATATGTATTATATATATATACGTTAAAATACCTAATATCTATAAAGTCACAGAAATATTATCGCGTAATCTGCGATATTGCAATAATCCTGCAATGTAACTGCAAGTTTTTGTGCTGTATGGGATATAACATAAAAGTTATTTTCATTAAAAAGTACTTAATAAAAAAATAAATTTTATTATAGTGTTTTGGAAAGTTTTCTTCTTGAATTAAGCTACAAGAATACGTGATAAAAATTAGGGAATGCCATTAATATAAATCGATGTGACCTTGATTTGACCTTGGCGACGCCATCAAAGTCAACTGATACGCGTAGTAAATAGATCAGTAAATAGATCAGTAAATAGATTTTTTTAAACCCTACAACTTTTATGTGAAACACTTTTCTGTAAAACTTATATTTTTCGATATATTCAGAGGTCTTAACCTTTTTGTGACACTATATAAATATACCCAGCAAACAATTTCTGACTGCGCAAACCTTGGCAACAGAAAGTGTTTGCAGAAACGCTACAATACGGAAACATGCATTGGTTCTACCAAAGCTGTTAGCATACGGAGACGAAGAACGCAACATGTCCACCATGGTCACCAAACCATATCCTAAAGAGAACACAGATGTATATGGATTTGGTCTACAAATTTTGTTGACTGGTTGGCGATAAAATCGCGACATTCCATAACCAAATTATTTGCTGGGTGTATATATAGTATATAAATATGTATATACAGGGTGTCTCAGATTACCTGCGCCATTTACTTAACAAAGGAACTGGTTACTTTGAAAAATGTTTCAGACAAAAGTTGTTAGGGAACAAGTGATGCATTACATTGCATATGCGATTGACCTTGAATGGCGTCGTGAAGTTCATGTCAAGATCAACTTGAATTTTTGAAATGGGAATCCTTAATTTTTATTACATATTCTCCCCGATAGCCAAATGATAGCAGTATGCCAGCAGTATGCACGCAGATTTAATCAGCACTTTGCAGCAGATTCCACTCAGCTGTGTCATCATAGTGAGTGAATTATGTAGGCACAATATGTAAAGAAAACAACACAAAAATATAAAAATAAATGAAGAATTAAATGACAATAGCACGTTATGCTTCAAATCTGCTAAATTTTTTGAGCAAGTTCTGCTTGATTGATGCAATAATATTTGCATCACGGCATGACACATTTATATTCTCTTTTTTTTTTCTGTTTTTCTGTCGACACTAGTTGAAATAACAGATTATGTTGGCTACATTGAATGCTGGCTACATTGTACTGGCATAATGTGTTATTGCAGATTTTGCAAAATATGCTCACTCAGTCTTGGTTATCTGGGCTTGTAGCTGACGTCAAGGCGTTTTCGAAACACTGCTTGCAAATCTTTTTTAGTTGAGATCTTTCTGAGTTATGAGACTTCAAAATTTAAGTACCGCCGGCGTTAGCATTACCCAAGACGTACCGCGTAGAAGTCGTACGGTCAGATTTACACCTCTTTGGGATGCTTGATTAAAGTGTCCTCTTGTCTTTTTCATTGTTTAGATGCTGATAAAATTCTTTCTGCAACAAATAATTTCCAGAAAAGAATATTTGCTTACACTGAAGCAAACGGTAGACATTTTGAACACCAAGCCTGAACATATACTACATATCTAACCACACACACACGCACGCGCACACACAGCAGAGAGGGTTTAGAGTCGTAAAAAATACTGAGGGGCTGACAAACTCTGGAGTCCTTATCTTTGGCTGTGTTTACACAACACACACACACACGTGAAAGGTAAGTGGATTTACTTTAATCAAGCACTCCAAAGAGATGTAAATCTGACCGTACGACCTCTACGCGGTACATCTTGGGTAATGCTAACGCCGGCGTTACTTAAATTTTGAAGTCTCATAACTCAGAAAGATCTCAACTAAAAAAGATTTGTAAGTGTTTCGAAAACGCCTTGACGTCAGCTACAAGAATATGAAATAAAAATTAAGGGTTTCCATTTCAAAAATTCAAGTTGACCTTGACATGACCTTCATGACACCACTCAAGGTCAATCATTGGCATATGCCAATGTAATGCATCACTTGTTCCTTAACAACTTTTGTCTGAAACATTTTTTAAAATAACCATTTCCTTCGTTTTTAAGTGGATGGCGCGGTTTGAGACACCCTGTATATATGTATATACACATATGTATGTACGTATGTACGTATGTATATGTATGTACATTCCTACTTTGCTATTTCCATAAAAGATATCAACAAAAACTAAATAATGTTATGTAAAACACACTTTCCAAGAACTTTAGATGAAAATAATAATAATAATTTAAATTATTAAATTATAAATTAAAAAATGTTAAATATGTATACATTTGGTTTTTATAATTTATTTTACTTGTCATATCCTAATTAAGCATAAATGTGTCGCGTTTTACAGTGGATTCCGCTCACTACAAGGTAGCGTAAAGCAACGAGAGAAGAAAAAATTTATTATGTATTCGATCTACGCGTGGGGAAGTGCCTCTATCTTCACTCTCGTTTGCGCCATTATGGATTTTGTTCCCAGCATGCCAAAGAAATTTATCCGACCGGAATTTGGCGCTGAGAGATGTTGGTTCTCCAGTAAGTAATATTGCAGCAATTTAGCTCTATTAATACTGTAGCGGATAGCGTATTTTGTGAGAAAAACCGGATAATAAAGTCACTTCGGTTAAGACGAAATAAACATTTGCATTTGCACAAAAGCAGCATGTAATGTAAAATATTCGATTTATGTTTCAGCGGATTCAGCAAAGGCGTTATATTTTTATGGTCCGATGAGTCTCACAGTTCTATGCAATATTTGCTTGTTCATATCGACAGCATTAAAGATTGTGCGCCACAAAAAAGACACGGCTCATCATTTGAGAAGCTCAGAGAGTAGACGCCACGACGACAACAAGCAATGGTTTGTACGTCAACTTTGCACTTAATATATAACTCATCGTGTATTAACGCAACATTTACATACATCGATATATTAATGTGCAAACGGTTTTCGCATAATGTCGATTCTCGTCGTTCCTAACAAGATGATTATTTTTAGACGGCAACTTTCCCATGCCGCGGTTTGCTTTGATAATTACGAAATCTTCTGAAGAAACAAACATTACCCGCGCCGTTTTCGATCTCGCTACGCGCAAGATTTTTCGAGAGCATCTGCGATTCCAAAAAGAATGACAAACAATCGTGCGAATATAAAATCAAAAAGTGGATGCTCTTTTATATTATAAAGCTAAGGAGAATTACGTTTCTTCTCAAAAATTTTTTAAGAAAGCTTTACAACAAAGCAAAAAAATGTTTGATGTCGTGTTTTAAGGCACCCTTGTTTTTAATGCACAACTATAATACTGCATTTATTTTTATTATTTTTTTTTAGTTATTTCATATCTTTTTTTAATAATTTTGTGGAGTCTTTCTAATTAAACTTCGATTTGAACGATCATTTTTGTAATGATTTCAAAAAAATCATTTCAGTTATATTAATGATGATTATAGAAGCTAATAATAAAAACTCTGTGTGTGTGTAATATATACATATATATATATAACAATAATAATAATATTATTATTATTGTTGTTGTTGTTGTTGTTGTTATTATTATTTGGCTTTTGCAGGTTTAATTTGTACCTGAAATTATTCATTGTAATGGGCATAAACTGGTCAATGGAAATAGTGTCATGGCTATTCAAGAGCGCGCCAGCATATGTTTGGTATCTGACAGATCTGACCAACACTCTACAAGGTCTTATTATTTTTATTATATTCGTGTGGAAAGAAAAGATCAAGCGACTGTTGCTGAAGCGATTTGACTGTCAGGATCGCAGTATATTTTCCAGAAACTCAATACGCAGCGGTCTTCACAGCTCAGCCTCTCGCACTTGCACTACCACATCGGGAGTGATGCCTATGCAGGAAAAAGTCAGTCCCTATGCGCAAGTAAACTATCGCGCCAAGAGCTTGTCTGATGAAGCTGATACTTAGTTCTGCAATAAGTGACAAAAAAAGAATACTTTCTACGAATTAACTGCACTTTCATAATTTAGTTCCCTAGTTGAGATTAATAATATATTATTGTGCGTTTTGAGATCTCTTTATTTGTAACGTCAACCGAACTGACGATTTGGCGATTGTGAATAGACAAACAGATTTTGAATATTTTGATGTACTCACATCGCCATAAAGTCGGTAATAATTCGAAAAATATTCCATTCTTTTTCTTCAATTGTAGTTTGTCCGTCTGGGATGATATTTCTCTTCTACGCTATCTTTTCACGTCCAGTACTACTATTAATAATTTGCATACAACAGTTGAAATTACATTTTTATTACTAATAGGCAAATTGTGAAAATATTGCACAAAAATGGCATCATGAATAACGACAATCCTGTAATGATTGCACTAAGATGATTCGCCATAACGCAACAGTTTAGTCGAAATAAAATTTTGTAAATAATATTTGTCAAAAATTGCGAAAAAGTCGTTATGCATTTCCATAAGTATATACATGAATTACGTTGATTTCTTTATATGCAATTATATTTCTACATATTTTAAACATCACATAGCTGAAATTTTTTTTTCAAGTATTGAACAATTTCTTTTTGAAATTAATTTTGCAAATATACTGCTAAGATGATACGCCATATCGTTATTTCTTTTGCCGAAATAGTATTTGGAAAGTAATTTTGCAAACTACAAATATTTGATAAAAGATCAATGTTTTTACATCGATTTCCTAAAATATACCTGTATAATTGCAAATTACATTTTTAGTGCAAGATTTCGCCACATAATTTTGTAAATGTTTTTTTATCAGGGTATAGTCTACAGTAAAATCAAAAGACGGGTAACATTGCAACGCTACTTTATATACATATACATATATGTCAAATTAGACGTATTTTTTTATTTTATGCATCCAAACAGTCTTATATAATATAATATGATATTCTCTTATATATTATCTTATATATATGTATCAATACTATATATATAATGGTATTGATATCTTTTGCACTGAAGTACAGAATAATTTTTGTAGATCAATCAATATATTCTATAATAAGAATATATTGTCATCAATATATTCGTATTATACGTTTTTTATTATGATTTTTTTAAGTTATTTTGGTTTAAGTTATACAAGTACTTTACAGAATAATGACCTATAGTTTGCACCAATTGCTTACTACGCGTATCAAGTACTATTTATATTCTGTACTAAATCGGCTTAATTTCAATGATGTAAACGATATTAAGATGGTACGATACGCATATCAAAATGGTATGCGTATCAAGCATACTTATAATGGTGTAAACACAGAATTTTGCATTGAAAAACGAATTTTATTTGATTATCAAAAAGATGTACGGTGCAAACTAGGTCAATGTTATACATAAATAGAAAATGTATCTCCACGCTTTTATTTGTAAATGCCATCACAAACGATAGCTATTATGTCTAATAGATAACGGTTTTGTTATGAATTTGATTAAGTAGATAAAATGTTTGACACGCACAATTTTGATGCGAAGCATATCAAACGTATAGTTTATTTTTCCATGCTATCAACGTTAAATATTATGTGTAAGCTTTCTATCTACATTCATATCACTATTCACTATTGTATCACATATATATGTTTGTAATCGTCTACGTATACGATAGCTAGACGAGAAACCAAACAATAAAGAGCATCACAATATATGTATTTATTGTTTACTCATTTATTCAATATTTTATTACAAAGTTAAACCACATGCGTGATATTTACCTGAAATATACTAGTCGAATATTATATAATAGATAATCGGCAATTTGAACTTCTTCTAATAATCGCGATCAAATCAAACTTTTTTGAGAAAAGTAAGCTTGCATATAAAATACACCATAAAAGTAGAAGAAATTATAAGAAAAGAAATTAATTTTTCAGTTTTATAAATATAGCGTAAATCATACACATATTCTCTCTAGAGACCATCATCTTATCTTTCTCTCTATCTCTTCCGCTATTTCTCGTGATACTTCTTCATTAGTAACATTCTAGGCATGATAAAAAACATTGATAATTATTACGAGTTGCAAGTAATAATGGTTTCACTAATTAGTGCACAATGAAACGTCTAGAAACAGTGCTCTTTCTCGTGTTTTTCGCGATCCTGATGGAAATGCGATTCGCAGTTGTCACATCGGAAAGCAATAAGACTTATTTAAACTCAAAAATAAAGACAAAACCGCGTATACCATTATGTTGTTACAATGACACTTATTTTGTTATTGGAAATTTCGATTGCGAGGAAAGCGCAACAAACGCAACGATACAAGAGAAACGAGTGCCGAAAATTTATGAGATTGATCTTGCATCGAAAAACATCAGTATGAGCCACGAGCATTTTTTCTTTGTGGTGCAAAGACCTACGTGCTTTGAAAATCAATTTCCATTATTGTCAAACATTTTTGAAAAAAACAACTGGTATCTTTTGTCGAACGGTTCTATATTGCATCCTTTGCCTGATTTAACGTATTACCTCCTTGACTATCATCAGTACTGTCTAACGAGATTGATGAACAAGGATAAAGACAAAGTGTATTCAAACTATTTTGTACATTATTGTAAGCAATATATTATTGCAAGCGATGAAGAAGCCGATGTTCAATCGCGATTAGTATATTCTCTCGGAATGCTCATTTCCGTACCGTTCTTGATTGCTACGTACATCGTTTATTGGCTGCTACCTGAGCTGAGGAACATACATGGTCAGACATTACTTAAATATGTTGGTTGCTTGATAACGACATACGGTACATTGGGAGCAATAGGAATAGAACTGATACAAATCCAAGAGATTTATCCTTTTTGCATCATAATTGGTATATGCACCTAATATGATCTGCTTACCTAGTTAGTTAGTTTAATTTTAAACCTATAAATTATGACAAAATGTGTTCATGTTTTCCTCATTATAATATTTCAGCTCTTACAGTTACCTTCACTTTTACGGCGAGTTTCTTCTGGTTGAACGTGATGTGCTTTGATATTTGGTGGACATTAAGGTAAGAGTGTAAGATAATTGTCAATATAGTTATCATCTGCAAAGTATAAAAAACTAAATAATTAAATAGTAAAATTAATGTATTAAATTAAGCCTAATTATGTATGTTGTTTTGTAGAGAATTTCGTTCGTTACACAGGAGCGTAAAGCAAGAAAAACGAAAGAAATTTGTAATATATTCGATCTATGCATGGGGAAGTGCGTTATTTCTTACATCTGTTAGTGCCATCATGGACTTTGTTCCTGGTATACCAGAAGATTTTCGACCGCAATTCTGTCTCACTACTTTTTGGTATCATTGTATGACATCGGCAATTGACTTGTTATGAATATTAAGTAATATTAAGCATTTTATTGAGTTTCTCACATAATGCAAGAAATTTATTTTCAGCGGATTTAGCGGAAGTGCTGTATTTCTGGGGTCCTATAAGTGTTACCATTATTTTTAACATTTGTTTATTTATTTCCACAACCCAAAAGATTAAACGTCACAAAAAGAGCACGATCCATTTGAAAAGCTCGGAGAGCAGACGTCACATCGATAGAGAACAACGGTTCGTACACTGTCTATCTGTCCATCTATCTACATATTTATAGATGATAGATCACACATAGAGATAAATATAATTGCTTGCAGGTTCAGCATATACTTCAAATTGTTTATCGTTATGGGCATGAGTTGGTCTTTGGAAATAGTATCATGGGTCATGGACATGTTCGCTTATGTGCCGATATATTTTTGGTATCTCATCGACCTGACAAATATCCTGCAAGGCCTTGTTATCTTCATATTATTCGTGTTCAAGAAGAAAACCAAAAATTTGTTGATAAAACGATTTAATAATTGTCGATTCTGTCCTCGCAGAAACTTGACGAATAGTGATCACTTCAGCTCGGTCTCGCATACTACTACATTGAGGATCATACCTCTGCAGAATATTAATTTACATAGCTAAACGTAAATTGGAGAAATGTTCTTCAAATAAAATAGATTCGTAATATTGTAATGCAAATAAATGTTCTATTATTCTTTCGCTTTTAGAAGACAAATTTTTATCATTAAGATATCAATTATTATATATCATAAAGATTTGTACAAATTTACCTTTTGATACAGAGAAAAATATTATTATCACATATGCAGAGAAAAATATCTCGAATGTAAAAGAATTAAAACAAAATGGTTTCTACGCTTTTAAGTTGCTAAGTAAACATAACTTAATACATATTTTACACACACTACGTACGTGATATTGTATATATATAGTTAGTAGTTAACGCCATAATAAACCAAAAAAACTTAAATTGAATTACTACATATATCTTATGCGTTGCATTTTGTATTGTTTTGATACGATTTGTCAATTAAAACTATTATAAAAGTATTAAATGAAGATTTTAATTTACGCAAACATATCTTCTCGATCTGCCCCAACTCCTTCGCCATCTTCTAAGCTCGAGAAATTGAGGAAATGAGCCGGTCTATGCACCTCATGATAAAACTCTTTCGGGTTTGCCAGTTGCAACTCAAATTTCATGTTAGGATCGTGTCTCACTCCCATAAAATTGTAATTCCACGAGCCTTGACTAGGCACCATAAAAAAGCCCAGGAAACGATCGGACAGAAGCATCTGTACTTTTTCATAATGACTGGGTAGATAACCTTTCGGATTGTTGCCTTTGTCCGTATTCTGTTTGCCCCATTCGAAACCGCTTGGCGTCAGCTTATACGCTGTGAGAGAACAGGAGCCAGGTGTAAAGCTGCAAGTAATGACGATGGTTTTTTCACCGTCCCAAATGGAATTCTCCGCCATGATTCGGGCGTGAGTGGATATATCTTGTGGCGAGAGTTGCGGTAGCTCATTGGGCTGTGTGTGTATCCAACCCAGCGGCTCCATTTCCTTCAAATACTGATGGTTAGGTAATGTATTTGGCAAGTGAACCGTTTGATGAGTTCCCCATTGGGGTGCCATTACAATACACCTGATTTCTTTTACCTATTATGTAAAAACAAAAAACCAAGAAAAAAAGATCAGAGAATTGATATACAAAAATATAATATATCCTATATATTTAAACTTTTAGTATTCTTCTCTTTTCTCTAAAAAAAAAAAGTGAAAATATTTACAAAAAAATGATAACAAGAAAATACTTTCAAACTTCAAAAAATTTATAAACTATTCTTAAACAAATACCTGAGGATTATCAGGCGGACTGATTCCATACAGATAGCCGGCAATCTGCGCTCGCAGATCAGAGATTGTAACAAATTTCTTTAGTACGTTCTTCGGTAAAATATAGGTATAACCAGTTTCCTTGATATCGTCAGACGAGACATAGATGTGGTTCGTTCTAAGATGAAGATTGGTCGCAGAGATAGCTCGCACTCGCCATTCAGTTTTTGAACTGAACGTTTGCGTCTCATAATTAGACGTAGTCGCGGTTATAATTTCGTCGCCGTGCTTGTTGACCGTTCGTGTGGTAGTGGCAGTGAGCTGGCTCTGTTCCTTAGTCTGCTTCTCAATCTCGGCGATTTGTTGACGTTGCGCGGATGGCGCGCTTATCTCCATGCCAAGAATGATATCACGAATTTCAGATTGAGTGAGTGACGCGACGTTGACATTGTTTTTTTTGCCATAGTCCGCGAGGATTAAATCTTTCAGCTGCACCTCTACTTTGATCCACTCATCGTCACTCAGCGACGGCCATATATGATGCGGTTCGGTTATAGTGGTTTTATCGGGCTTTAACACGACTTTTGTTCGTTCAGTATTCACATGTAGAGCGCGAAGAATGAGAATCAGCCTCGAAAACGCAGTGTAAGATGAAATGGTCTTAAGCCAGTCGTCATAAAGATTGAAAAGCACCATCTGTGGCTCGGTTGCTTTCAAAATCAAGTCGCCGAACTTTTCTACTTTAAGACATGCTTGGAATGGTAATTGCAGTTCGGATCCTTTGATAACTATGTTGGGGAAATCCAGTAAGTGTACTTCCAATGGGTCCAACATTCCCTTCCTAGTAACAATTATCTGCTTGGGCTGTTCCTCCACTGGTAACGAACGAATAAGAGCAGCAACTTCTTCGGCAGTTTTCCATTTAGCTAGCTGACCAAGACGCTTCTGTCCGGCCCAGACAGAGGTGTGAATAATTTTTAAGAAGAGTTGTCCAGTGCGTGGATTAAAAATAAAGATTGCACCGTTAATCGGTTTTGTTGTCAAGTTACCCTCAAAGGTCTTATGAATCGTCACGCGATACACATTTGTATCATCGACGAACCAAATAATCTGATTGGAAAAGAGTTCGCCGTAGTTCTGTGAGGAGAGATAAGGCTCCGTAGGTTCGGATGAGTAAAGTTGCAACGCTTTACGGATGCGTTCACGCAAGACATACAATGCGGGGTTTGCCTTCATAATCTTCGCCATAGCTTGCTGTATTAGCGGCTTGCAGCCGGGAAACCAATTGCCATAGGCGCTGTGCAAGTTGTACGCCAAATCTATAGCTATTAAAAGACCGGTGGGTGATGGATAGATAGACATATTGTCTGTAGTGTAATCCAGGAACTTGGCGCGAGCATATCTCTCAATATCGTGAGAGTCGTAGTCGCCCCATCTTAGCTGAACGTCAATCCAATACTTCTGCGTGGTTGTGTTGTCCATCACATCTTTGGAATCGGCAAGAAGCGACGGTCGAGATACGTTCCATTTGTAGGCGGAGAAAAGCAAGATATCCGCGCACGATGAGTTCATCTTGTAAGATTTTCGAGGATGAATCGTTTCTTTCTGAACAGTCTCAATTTCCAATGCGTCCAATTCTTGATCGAATACTTGGCAGAGATCCATCACAATGGATTCGTGAACTTTTTGCCACAAATGAGCGCGGAATATCTGAATCAACGAAATCTTAAGAGTTGGTATTTTGCCGTGCATAAATATTCCCGTTAGATCTAGTTGCACCTGGAAACCGACGTAGACGTTGGCGCGATTGATCGTAGGCGACCACCATAAAGTGAAACGACGATTAGGAATCTGATTGAGACCGGAACGTTGCGCGTTTGTCAGCTTTTTATATTTCATCGATTCCTCGAAACCGGAAGCTTTTTCCCAGAAGAGACCTTCCCATGTCGGGAAGTAAGTACCTTTGAAAAGAGTATGCTCGAGGATTCCTTCGACACCACCGAGCGCCTGAATCATATCGGTTCGATAGTTGTTCAAATTCCATAGTTTGCCATCGTGACGCTGATGAGTCCACCAAAACGGATTCTGCTTTAGCACTTGGTATTGCTTGAATTCTGTGCGAATGCGCCAGCCTTTGTCGTACGCCAGTGTGTGTCGATCCTTCTGGAACAGAGTATTGATCCTAGGAATGCCGCGATCCCAACTATCCTCGAGATCTTCCAAAGTAAGTCTACGATTCTGAGCGTTGGCTTCTTGTCTCTTCAATGCATACTCCGCCCAGACGCGCTGAGAGTCAATAAATTCTGACTCCCAAGGTTGTATATATCGATATAAATTCGGAATTAATTGGTCTTCATCGTGACTCATACCCGAACGAAAATGTGTTATGCCTACGTCAGTTTGCTTCGACCATCTCAAGTCCGATTGCGGTATCAATACATGACCCATCGATAACATTCCCAAACCTCCCAATTCTTTAGGAGTATAAAAAACGACAGGCGGGAAGCGCGAAGGCATTTTGGAGTTGAGTCCAATCTTGATACGTGTCTGAATCTTGTTCTCGCATTTGACTAACAGATCCAATAATTCTTGCGTATTTACTACAGCTTCTCTGAAGTAAGTCATCAGACCGATTAACGCGGTATTCCATTTATTGACAATTTTTGTAAACGTAGTTGAACCCGAGGCCATCAAAATTTGTCTGACACGATTGTGAAAACGTTGCAAGCTCTCGTCATCGACGCGCAAAAAGCATTGCGCAGTTCTTTCTTTCGTAATCTCGTTCTGAAGATTCCAGACGCCATCACGGTGCGTAAACTCCTCATGAGTCGTTCTACACTTGGGCAAAATTCTGCATTCAAATCCGCTCATATTAAAGAGCAAATTGGGATTATCTTTGCTGTAGACGCTGACGAAACTATTCTCCCATTGAATAGTAGTAGTGGAACGTGGCAAACGATTTTTTATATCCCAGAAAACAGCGCGGCCTAGATTAACATCATGCTTCATCAGTCTCATCCGAGCATCTCGCGGCCAGCATTTCTTATTGTTGTAGCCGACAATGTTTTCATTGTTCGGATCGGGATGTTCGGTAAGATATCGCTGAATAAGGTCTCTTGCCTCGTCAGCGGAAAAGCGCAGAAACAAATGTATTCGATCGACATAGCGACAATATAATCGAATAGGATGCGCTGTTTCGGAAGCAACATCTTGAAAAGTTAAGAAGTCATTCGGCATTTGCGGCGGACCGGCCATTTCGCTGGCTCGCTGCAGACCCAGTACCAGTAGATCCAACACTAGTTCGTAATACTAAGCGATAAAGGACGCAAACTGCAGACCTCTGATAATCCCATAGCTGTTAGTGTGATTCATATCCTTGTAATTAATGACAACATTGTTCTTTGCCGTCATATAATCGGCGATGTTATGGTCGACTATTAGTCGCAACAATCTATTGAGTAGCGTAAGATCGATCTTTTCGTACAGCTTCTCGAACTTGGATTCAAGCAACACGTTGCACTCGCCCTCATTGACCTCCCATACATCTTGAAGATTGTTGATACCTTGACACCACTTGTAAACAAGGAGCGGCGGCGGTTCTGTATCAGCCGGTTTCACCCAAGGCGGGAAGAGTCGTCTCTTGTCCGCCTCGTACCACAAATACTGATCCAAGTAGGCATCTGTAATCTTCTCGAGCGGTTCTACGTCGTATACAGAAATCAAATGACTGTAGAGATCTATAAATTCAATAACGACTTCCTTGACAGCTCTCTGCGTGAGCAAATGTCGCTTGATTCTCGACAATGCCTCGTGTGGATTGTCATATGCTTGTTCTATCAAACCCAATTCTTCTCGTTGACTTTGATTTAGTCTGGATTTAACACTGTAAGCTTCCTTCAAACGTTCCAGAGCCAATATTAATAGTTTTGTATCGTGTTTGTAAGATAAAGGTGGAAACGGTATTGGTGCAAATCTTCGCGACTCTAACCAATGTACCGAAGTGGTAAATATAGCCACAGCTTCTTCGGGCGATATATACGGACCATCTTTCAAGTAATTGTGTTGTCGTTCCTGTTCGGCCTTCAAATAAAGACGTGTCAAGCGACCGAGGTTCTTTTTGCAGACAGTCTTGTCTACTGTCGCACCACGTCGAATTCTCTCTCGATTGTAATGAGCTGTGTTGGTCCACCAGTCGGCTTTCATTTTGACATAACGTAATATCATATTCTCAATAGGAATCGGCAAACCCGGTACTTTCCATGGGATATTTGCCTTCCAGCAGCGCCAGGCTTCACTTAAATGTTGAAGAATCGTCCGTGCTTTGTTTTGCTTTATTCCTTCGGGCATCATGTCTACTATGTCATGCATGACAGACGCTCGTAATTCAAGATCGAAATGTGACTCGACTCGTTGTTTTGTGACAGTTTTCGCAACTCCCTTTGAGTGACGACCTTCGAACTGTCTTGACAACAAATTACCTAGCCATCTTTCCAGAAGAGGAGTGATACCTCTCATGAAGAACAACCAGACACGCCAACCGGGCGCCCAAAATCCACATCCGGGTCCTTTACCAACTGGACCGGTATTAAAACGATAATAAATCAAATGTTTCAAGTCTTTGCACATTCTGATTTGCCGCATTAGTTTATACTTGTATCGATACATGCCAGTTAACTGACCAACGTGCGCAAAGATATATTGCAATCCATCAGCAAGTTGAAATGCGTCTACGTTATTCAATCGATATTGAACGTGAGAATCGATTATGAGTTTGGTTAGACGAAGAATTTCTCGGCACAAGTGGAAAGCATTGCCAAACCGCGATTTTTTCCTTTCTTTTGTTGTAAGCGTCTTGACAGGTTTCAAGTTGAAATTGTAGTCCAAATGAAGATAGTTTAGATTTTTTCGGTGTATCAGTAAGTTTAACATATTGTATCCTTGACGGCATACTTGCAAACCGGCCTCCACCCAGTCGATCGTTGTTGTCTGGAAAAACTTGGTCGATTTGAAGGAACGGAAAAGATAGCGTTTCTTCTGCGGTTTCGGTGGTCTATGCTTCAATGCATTTAGCACGAAGTATTTCAATAGCTTTTGATAACTAACTCGTACTTTTACAGGCTGACCAGGCGGACAATGTTCTCTATACCATGATTTAACCAGCGGAATGTCTATGGCTCTTCTTGTTCTTCCCGAACGGGTGTTAAATGGCCTTGGTGCCCATAAAAGAGCTATTCCATTTGCTGTATTATCTGTATAAAGGGGTATTTCTTGTAAAAACGGTTGCACTTCACCAGGCAGAACAAAATCTTCGTCATCATCGATTTGCGGCTCTATTGTCTGCAATTAATTGATACAAAAAGTTAATTTGTTATTAAAAAATATAAAGACGTTGATAATGGCTATTTGAAGCAAACACGGATGCTGATGTGTATATTGGTTGAATTAATTTATTGAAAACAAGGTATAAAACGTTTTCGACCTTAAGATTAGGTCTTTTTCAATATAAATCTACAAAACAATAAATTTAATATAGAAATTCGCAAGGATAATACAATAATGTTGTTGAAAAAACTTACAAACAATGTAGTAATGGTCATCACATGAGTGCCGAATTAAATGTTCATAATGTAGGAACAAAACTTTACTACTTTACATGGTAACAAAGCGACTGAAAGAACCGAACAAGTGTGTGTCGTTTTAAGTAGAAGTCAAAGCTACAATCAGCGATCATAAGACACAGTTCAGTCAACGTGTATTATCAACAAATGGTAAATAAGATCTGTCTAAATTTTCGGTGTCACTAAAGGTGCAAATTAAGACCATGGCTTTGACTTCTTATGTATAGAGTATCTGATATCAGACGTTTATTATAAGATCTCTCATTGTCTAATATTTTTACGTTGTCCCAATCAAATTCATAAGAGTATTGGATTCTGTAATCACTAATCTTTTGACCTAATCCTAAGGTCGAAAACGTTTTATACCTTGTTTTCAATAAATTTAACCAATATACACATCAGCATCCGTGTTTGCTTCAAACAGCCATTATCAACGTCTTTATATTTTTTTAAAAATCTTGAAGCTGCCTACACACATTATTACTTATTAATTTGTTATTATCAATCTATTTGACTCAATTAGTAGTTAGAAACTTACTTTCAACGAATTTCTGTGAGAAATTGGATTAATTAACGGATCGAAATAGAACGCAGGCAAATCTGGATCTTCGGTTTTTATGTACACAACGTTTGGTGCATGATACCTGTAAACATATGCTTTGGTAAAGAATAATATAATACATACAATAATAAATACTTTCACATTATGAAAACTTATGTTTTGTAAGTGATATCAGCGGTTTCTTTCTACAATCTCAACAAAAGATACAAATAACAATCACTAGATTTTCTTTGCCACACTGCTAGGAAGATCGTTTTATCTTAACAAGCAGATCTTAAAACTAGTGTGGAAGATAAAAAAAAAAAAAAAGCTAAATGATACAACTTTCATTAGATATTACACAGCTTACCATGAAAGATGCACAAAATGAGGCATATTATTGTACAAATAAGGAAATGCAATTCTGTATTCTGTTCTAATCGGCTGCCTGATAATAATCTTATTTATATCATTGAATTCATTCCAATCTTCATCAGCAGTATTTGAATCTTTCACTAATGGTTCAAATTTTGGTCCTCCGGGAATAGCCATATTTAAAGCTTTTGCAGTAAAGAATGATTTAAGATCAAAGAGATAAAAGAAATTCTGATCCACCAAATCAGTTAACAATTGGTTAGCTAATCGATACAGAGTGGCCATCTGTGGCAACGTCAGGTTCCATTTCCGATATGTAGATCCATTAACATGTCTGAAATATATTTTTATACTCAGATACTCTAAATTTATATTAAAAAAATAAAGTCTAAATAATGAATGTTTCAGCATAGCACATTTATCCAACTGGATAGCTTGTACCATCAGTCACACAATAACTGATAATACATACCTATCCAAGTTGTCAACTCACATATCAGTTGATTTCAGGACCCCTACGCTTTTCATCATTAAAAAACAAAGTAGCAAAATACACTAATAATTAAGTAATGTAGACATAAACTTACTTAGTACCAACCAATGGCTTATGTTCATAAAACCATGATGCAACCGATTCATCTTCTTCTGAATCGAGTTCAATTTGTATGGCTTCTAAAGGCTCAACATCCAAAACGTTATCCGCATAATCTAGAGGAGGCTCTTCATCATCAAAAGGTGGGAACCTCATTCTCTTGAAGTGCCTACGATCTCTTTTTTCCCGTCTCATCATAATCCACATTGTGCTGAAAGAAATTGTTTTAGATCTTTCAAAATAGTAGCTTAGCAGTCTACTTAAAAAGCAAAATTGTCTTTTTGTATCTTACCCCCATTGTGCTATGTATACAGGTTCTATAACCCATGGAATTTCATTGACAAATGTAATAGCTCCTGTAATATGATACAAGACCTTCACATCTCTTATTTGTTCCCATGGCATAGGCATGTTTTCCAACAATTTCATAACTGCATGTGGCATGTACTTTAATGCTCTATAAGAAATACAAGTTTACAATATATCCAGTTTTGTTTTTTTATAACAACTTACCCTAAATAAACACGTTTGTCATGCCGATATTTTCTACTGCTCATATCACCATGATCTCTAATAATCTTTCTTATATGTTCAGCTGGCATATCTTCTTTTTGAGCATCTACAAAACCAAACTTTCTTTTCTCCGCAAATCGCTTTGATTGCAACTGCTGCCATTTTTGTGCTAAAAAATAGAAATTACCATTAAAAAAGGTAAGATATATAAATCATTGTTTAGAAACAAACATTACCTTTCTCCTGAAGTTTGTCCTCAGATAAGACTTCAGGCTGTTTGGGCATCTGAGGCAATGGTGGTCCAGCCATTGCTTGCATATGAGCATGATGAGCTGCTTGTGCATGAGCTGCAGCTTGTGCAGCATGTGCTTGGGCAGCTGCTAGCTGGACTTGTTGTTGGGCCATCATAGTGGCCCATGGATTAGGGCCCAGCAGATATGGTGGGATAGACATGGTTATGTGAGCTAAAATTGTAACAAACAAAGATATGACTTATTTTAGCTTTCTTTAACATGCACATAAATACACACATTATTATATATTCTTTTAACTCAAATATGTAGGTATCTGTAATTCTCTGTAGATTTCAAAAATAAGTTGTAACACAAATGCCAGAACATGGCCGCAAAGAACGCGCGGAAAATAAGAAACGTTAATTTGCAGACAAAATTTTAATAATTGAAAGCATTTTCCCATAGTGAGAAATGCTATGCTTATTTCATCAAGTTCTACATAACACACATCGTTTATAGACTTCAGCTTATATATAAATAATAAACAATATAATTATATACATACCTACATATACTTCACACAACAGACACAAAGTCACAGATAAAAGGTTTGGTTTGGTGTATGGTATAAGACTAAGATGAACCGCTCCGAAAATGCGCAGTCGTCTAAAGCCTGGTTTAGACCCTTTAGGGCGATGTCCCATTGAGCGGAAATCTATAGCGGAACGGAATGTGCGGAACCAGCTCGACCAATCGTAACCACAGAATAAGCGAAGGAAAGAAAACGGAATGGCTATGATTGGTCGAGCTGGTTCCGCACATTCCGTTCCGCTATAGATTTCCGCTCAATGGGACATCGCCCTTAGACCTAGTTTATGCGGGCAATAACTGTTAACTTATGCCGGAACCGGTAGAGTTTAACTATAGGATTCCAATACTTCTGTTTATACGCCTTCGGCAATTTTGTATAAACAGAAGTATTAAAATCATATAGTTAAACTTTACCGGTTCCGGCATAAGTTAACAGTTATTGCTCGCATAAACCAGGCCTTACACGTGAAAAAATTTTAGCCGTAACCGTAAGGTCGTAAGCAATTTAACCAATTACAGACCAGTATTATCTTACATTAGTTGGAATGCTGGCCAGCGATTGGTCGATTTGCTTACGACCTTGTGACTACGTCTAAATTTTTGCTACGTGCAATGGCCTTTATGCGGGCAATAACTGGTAACTTATGCCGGAACTGGTAAAGTTTAACTATAGGATTTTAATGCTTCTGTTCATACGAAATTGCCAGATGCGTATAAACAGAAGTATTGAAATCCTATAGTTAAACTCTACCGGTTCCGGCATAAGTTAACAGTGGTCTAGTTTCCACCGAAGCATTAATTCACACCTAATGCGACGTAGAATCAAATTTAAGTCGATGGAAACCTGTCAAATTGCGCTGATTTCGCTTTCGCTTCGATCTATAAGTACTCTACTTCCAATGGAAACGGAACACTAAATTTAATCCGTACCGGAGTGAAACCGAATTGAGAGTTTCGGTGGAAACTAGACCACTGATATGCTCTTTCTCACACTACTGGATACTGTGTTACACGCATATATGTAATACTTCTATATTGCTAGTCGCGTATCTTTGCAATGAGAGGCACAAGGCCCGAGAAAGAGAGACGCACGAAGTCCAAATATGGGCATAGATAGTCGAGCGTCATTATGCGCAGGCGCGTCTACTAAGCGAGTGAGACAAAGCATTGGAAAGTGAGAGAACGCGAGAAAAAGAGGGTGCTTTCCAACTACGTACACAGGCGACACTACAGTGGGAGCTTTTCAGCTACGTACACAGACGACACTGTGCAACACAGTGTCCACTAGTGTGAGTGAGACACACTGACATGCTCTTTTTCACACTAATGGACATTGTATTACACAGTGTCGCCTGTGTACGTAGCTGGAAAGCTCCCAGTGTCGCCTGTGTACGTAGTTGGAAAGTACTCAGAAATGCCCAAGCGTGCTTGATTGAATGTTTACCGCATGCGCACAAAGCAGCTGGATCTTGCGTGAGAGAGAGGCTACTATATTGTCTGCACCGTAACATTTGGGTTTCAGGTCGGCACCGTACTAGCAATATAGAAGTATTAAGCCCCTTGCACAATGGAAAGAATAGCTGTAGCGATAGAAATAACACGAGTTTTAAACAGTTTATATTTATAAATAACGGTAGGAACAGCGGAATCTAACATAAAAAATACACATGTATCAATGCAGATCAGAAAATCAGAATAAGTAATAGCAATAAAATTTCCGACAAGTTGAAATTCTGTGTCTGAAACTGTGTTAAGCCTCTTGCACAATGGACGGAATAGCGATAGCGATAGAAATAACACAGTTTTTAACACAGAATTCCAACTTGTCGAAAATTTTATCGCTATTGCTTATTCCGATTTTCTGATCTGCATTGATACATGTGTAGTTTTGTATGTTAGATTCCGCTGTTCCTACCTTTATTTTTAAATATAAACTCTTTAAAACTTTTGTTATTTCTATCGCTATCGCTATTCCGTCCATTGTGCAAGAGGCTTTATTTCTATCGCTATCGCTATTCCTTCCATTGTGCAAGGGGCTTTACATATATGGTTACACGGGCTGCGTTCCGAATAAAGGCCATTGCACATGAACTTCCGTAACCATAAGCATACGACATAAGCATAAGCTCGAAAACCAATCAAGAAGTAGCTTTAGGTCAGAATACTGCAGTAAGTGTAAAAATATAAACTTAAGCTGCTTTCCTTTTAGGAGACACAGGTCTAGTTTCCACCGAAACATTAATTCATACCTACCGCGGCGTAGAATCAAATTGAGGTCGATGGAAACACGTCGAATTGCGCTCAATTCACTTTTGCTTCGATCTAGGGTAACTGTCCCTATTAGTGTGCCTGTCCCGATTAGTGTGCCTTTATATTTAAATAAATATTACAGAAAAACAAGTGAAAATAAATAAGTAGAGTATTTTTT